TAATAATAATAACTTAAAAAAATTATATTATTAATTTTAAATTAGTTCTTAGAGACAATGTAAAATATTACATATTTTTGTAAATGTTATGTATTGTATTTATAATTTATGTAATAATCAAACGTATATTATTGTGTTATTTATATAATATAATTGGAAATACTATGTATTGTAATTTATATAATAATTGTAAATAATGTTTTTTATATAATCGGATGCAATTAATAAGACAAAGATTGATGCACATTTAATAAACGTTTGTTTTAGGTGATTTAAAAATTTTTTTGTTTTTAAAAGATTGTTAATAAAAATTCGGAAAATACTTCATTTAAAATTCCGTATTAAAAGTTATGTGGCATGTATTATAATAATTAATTGAAGATAATGGTATGTGTATACAGTTTTTGTTTATGAAAATTAACATTCATGTCTTAGATATCACGATGTCACAAGTAAATTCAATATTTTTGTATTATTGAAGTTCCAAATTTTACATTAGAACTTGTTACAGAATTTGGCAAAACGCCTTATTTTATCTCGCTTTTAAAATGAAACATACTCGTGACGTATGTAATATTAAATATTTATTAATTTGTTCCAAATTTTCTCTCTCTCTTAGATTATATTTCGTATTAAATATGTTAAATCATTAAAAGTTAATGCAAATACTGCGTTATTTTCATGTTTATAAGTACGATAATTGGGACTCGATTGTGTCTGTTCCTAACATCAAGTAGTAGATATAAATGTTGTAATTCGGACAGATGGAGAGTAATGAATTTGGAAAGTTATTTCTCGTCAGTTTACGTAGCATCCATCCGAAATATCTATTTCGGTGCTTTATTGAATCTGGGAATTCTCGGCCGTTGCAAGGCTGAAATTAATCGATTAATTAATTAAGGGTTTTTTTTATATTCTCTGGAAGTAGTGATTTCGGCAATAAGTTAACGATTACGGTAATGTAATTTTTTTAATTCTAATCATGAAATTAATTAAATATATAATAATATGTTCTGAAACAAGAATTTATTCTTCTTATTAAATATTCTTTCATTAATTAACATTAATATTGCTTTAACAATAATAAGATTTAACAGATTGAACATGGATAGCAATTGTTTATAGATAAGTGAATTACATTAAATAAACTAAAATTACAAGTTTTGTTAAGTAGTCGGTTTTGCGATTTTTTTAAGAAAAAATGTAGTTACAAATGAATATATTTTTTTATTTTAATCTTCAGTTTCTTTTAAGAAACTGTTTTCAGGCACTGGACATTCCTTTATTTCAAAACATTAATTAATTAAAAAATTTTTTAGGTTAATTTGTATAATAAAATACATACGCAGTCTATATATTATGCAAGAAATTTTTAATTTCTATTTATCTGATAACATTTTATCAAAAAGATTCATGTTTATTTAAATAATTTATTGTAATAATACGATGGACGTAATTAAAAATGTGCGTACTTAAAAATTCAAGACGAATCGATTGGGTACCCCAATATCAATAAGATTTTGATAGCTCTAATTATCTAAATATTACATTAATTATTTAGATAATCTATTTAATTACTTGACTACATTTGAGTAACTGCTGCAGAAAAAGGAAGACTGATATGAATTTTATATTAATAATATTCGATTATAAAATCAAAATAAGATAAAAAAATGAATAAAATTTAAATCTCATTGTTATCGGTTCGATTCGTCTTGAACAGTTGGTACCTGAGAATTTTTGTACTCACATATATAATAAATTAATAACGTATGTATTTTATTACTTTGAAATATAATCATTTGTAACTATCTTTCGATAAACATTATTCTATCCATGTTTTTTTATTTTGTTAAGATACTGTATTTCGTAATGATATGAAGAATATATTTTTGCGTGTAAATCTTAATCTTGTGTACTAACTTGTGTTATAAAATTGTGATTAATATCGATTAAGTTATTGTTAAAATATTCGATAATTGCATTATTTGTAAAAATTTGGAAAAGGTTAAAAATTGTTAATTCGTTGCCCAGATGAGCATTATTATAAGAACAGTTCGAAAAATTTGGGATTGATTTCTGCTTGCAACGGAATTCAAGCCTAATGCGGGTGCAGTTAATGGCAGACTGTTGTCATTTTCTGCTCGAACCTGCTGAAATCTGCTAGAAGATTACAGACATTTTGCTATCTGGGTTACTAACATACCATGTTAGTATAACCATACAGGTACAGCACCAAACTTTTAAAGACGTACATAGAACATTTTAAGAATGTACTAAATATTCTTAAATTGTCGTGTGCTGTCTTATTATTGCTGGGTTATTATTAGAAAGATATATTAACATTTTATGATTAATGATTAATAAAAGAGTTGAAGAGATAAAAATACAATTATGTAATAATCCATCCAACAAAGATAGAGTAAAGTCGCCTATTATGAGATACCTTTTTTTAAAGGCTATCATTTATTTAATTTGTAACTTGAATTTCTGTCTTTATATCAAATTTATGGGAAATGTATTTAAGTTTTATCGCCAAAAGTTAGCAGTCGATAATAGCTATACTTTGTTGTATATGAAATTTTTTATCAAAAGTGTTGATTTTGATCATTTAATAAAAGGATTTCTAATACAAAATACACATGAAATATAAGGGTTTTCTTGTGCGAGGTGATATCTTATAATAGGAAACTAAAGAAAAAGTAAAGATAAGCTTTTTATATACCCTTTTATTATATTACATACAAGTAGGAACAAAGAATTTAAATGTATTACACATAATAATTATATAATTTTTCGATGTGTGTATATGTCATTGTAATCTTAACAATAGAATCGTCATTTTTAACATTTCGTTCGATAGTAGAGATATTAAATTGTTTAGATGCTCTCATATTAGCTAGGAATACCCTGAGTATCTCATATCACGACTTCTATGCCTTGCGGTTTCACGATCACCAAATATAATCTTTATAGTTAAACAAATCACTATATCACGTGTTTTCCTATGAATACGATCTTGTTCGATCACTACATGCAGACTATATTACCCAATATTTATTTTTATATAAAAGATTTGAAGACTAACCACAATAAAATTTGACAACATTCAATTTCACAAATTTTTTTTTGCAACGACTACACGCGTGATCTAATAAGAAATTTTCTACTAAATAGGTTTCACACTAAGAGTAAAAAGTTCATGATAGAACTAAATATATGCTCTTATTAGTTTAGCAGAAACCCCACTATCTCACATTAGGAACCTATCCCATATAATAAGCGACCTTACTCTATTTGTTTGCTAAGCAGCTGTCAGTTTACCGAACAGATGTTTCCTTTCTTACAGTAGACAATATAAGCAGTAACGCATTTCCGACATTTTCATTTATCATTTGCACGATATAAGATACTATACTCTCTAAAGATCAAAGATCAATAATAAGTTTTGTTTATATCGATCTGCATAATCTATCTGCTTCTTAAGAAAAACAGTAAGTTCTTATATATATTTTTCTAATTTAAAAAAATAAAATTTGAAAGTTCAAATTTATAGTAAATTACTATTCCTATGAAATTATATTAATTACTTATATAATATTAATAACAAAACATTTTTTAAACAAAATATCTTTTAAGACCTTGACGAATATACAATAATTAGGAAATAAAGACGCTGGATCTTTAATTGGCTTTCTATAATGAATCATTACCTAAGCTTTAAGTCTTAAACTATAAGAAATGAACAATCATAATCGATTGTTCTTCTCACATTCGACCGTGATTGGTTAAATTTTAAAATTTAAAACTTAGGTAATAGAGCTTATTGTAGAAAGTCCATAATGGTTAAATATATATATATATATATATATATATATATATATATATATATATATTATG